AGGATGATATCACAATCAGATATTGTGGCTAGGTTGCGTAATCCTTTTAGTTTGTTTACAATTGACCAGCTGTTAAGAAGGATAAGGGAGATGCCGCCCGTAGTTTTAATTTTCGAAGACTCATGTAGAAGTGTTGGTTCAGTGGAGGAATGAGATTTAGTGAATGAATTTGCAGGTAGTGCAGGAGTTGGAGGCCGAGAGCTTACATTATGAACAAGGGGGTACTGAATGATATATTGGTTGCATATGGATTCCCTATTTGGAGCGCCAGCAGTAGAACATGAAGCATACGCGCTCTGAGATTATTGTGTGAGTAGGATGGTGGAAGGGATGGTGGACTAGGGGTGAATATAAGTGAGACTCTTGGGGCAGTAAATGTGGACTTTGGACACATTGGGAGGGAGGGATAGGGGATAGGGACCAATAGGAGTGCCACCCAGTGAAGGGGTGCCGAGAAAACTTCTGATTTGCATCGAGGGCAGTGTATGGTTCAACAACCAAAGATTGATGAATATGGCGTAATGGACCAAACATTTGTGGGGGGAAGGGCATAGGTAATGGCAGTAGGTATTTGATGGGGAGAGGTGGTAGGGGAAGTTAAGAAAAGACACTGTGGGGTGTGAGTAGATAGTTGGTGTTGCACCTGGTGGTCTAAGGTTCATAGCTGGAGGTGGCCTTAGAGTGTGAATGTTTGTTGTACGTGCGGGATGTGACTGATGGCGTTGGTGTGATATGCCAATAGGGTGATTGATTTTTCGTTTGGCCGATCGATGACAGAGCGTGTGTGTTGATAACGCAGCTTTGGAAATGAGGTTTGGGGAAGGTAGGTGGGTCGTCTATCTTCCCTAATAGGCGAGGGTATAAGGGCAGTGAAAGGGTTGAGGGAATTAAGCAGCCTTACGGATGAGCCCACCGAAAGAGGGGAGACAGAATCCAAATGTGAACGTTTACGAAGGGGTTGCCTTGGTGTCAGAGAGGGAGTTCTGTCTAAGTCTACCGACGATATGTTGGGGTTTGCTGTCGGAGTGCAGGAAGTAGCGGACGGTGGGGAGTGAACTGGCCTACTGGATATAGGAGAAGGGCGAATCGTACCGTTATGATGTGGTGTTTTGTTCTCCAACCTGGTTATTTCTCGCTGTAGAGGGGTTCTATCGGCGGTGATATTGATCTGCTTGTAGGAAGAGTTATTAGAGATCATCTTTTGTTTAGAGAGAAATTCATGGGCAGCCCTTTTGTCTGAGAATTGAAACAACAGCAGACAGTGGTTGCGCTGCGTTTTCTTGCGCAACCGGGTGCAAAGATACAGCTGGTGTCTCATGTTGCAGGCGTTGAGTATGGTGTTTTTCACAGTTGTGATAGGTAAACGGTCAGGGATGTTAAAAACAACTGCATTACGAGATCGCTGTCCTCGAATATAGATCTCAGTCGCTAAAGCGTCAATGAATATGCCTGCACTTAGAAGGCTTTGTTTATCGGGACTTGGGGATGGCTCAACAATATAGATGAGAGGTATCAGTTAAGCGGTTAGGTTTCCCAGATATGATAGCTGAGTTTCCAACTGACCCAATTTCTGCTGCACCGTATCAGCTTTCTTCTTAGCTTCTCCAAATAGGTCAGTGATGGTTACCGTGTATGGGTCTATTGTTGGGACAGGTTGGCCTCGCTTGTATTTCTTAGGCTCAACAGCTTGACTGATGTTAGTAGTTGAGCGCTTTTTCGATGCCCTTTGCATTTTAAATCTTGTGCCTCAGTACTTTCGCTGTTAGTAGTGTAAGATGAGATAGATGGTTTAGGTGCTCAGAGAGTGCGGAGACAACTTCGAAGAAGTTGGAAGAAGAAGGAAATAGGAATGAAGTGGTAAAAGTGTAACAAAAGGGAGACTTTGGGTATACACTGTCACCACGATAACTTATTGCAAGTAGAGTGTGGTGTAGCGCAGGCTAAGATTGTTAGGTGAATTAACTGGTAATCCACGGGGAAGGACCAGTCTATATTTATAGAGCAAAGTGGGGTGGGGCGATAGATTGAGATGGCGAGACCGGTAGGTTATATATGTAGGGATGCAGAGTATATTGCAGTTGAATAACAATTGCCTAATCAATTACAGGGACAAATACTACGAGTATATAATAAATATAAAGACTAAATGAACATATATTCAATAACAAAACCTGGGCTCACGTGGGAATCTACTGATATATCATTCTTAATTAAATGACGCTTTAATGATGTGGCCCTCATCAGGTCACAAAACGAAACGAATCGAAAAAGTGAATATTTCGCTATATGTAATTCGATATATCTATTGATATTTCACAATTAGCTCAGCAAAAATACTTTCGATCACGAGTACTTTGGAAATCCAAACAGCAAGGTCAGTTAGTCCGTCAGCCCAATCAAATCGAACCAAATTTTCCAGGACATAGAGGCCTCGGCCTTATGGTTTTCCTGTTTCTGGCTCGACCTCGTCGGTGTACCGATCAAGCTGTATGTTTGTCCGGCTTGCAGCACGGTTGATAGTTCCACGACCGTTCGAGGATGTGAGATTCCGATGCAGTAGTTGTCGCGCCTGTTTTCGGCAAGGCTGAAAAAGAGAAGAAATGTACTGTCTTCTAGCAGTGTCGGTGGGAGACTTACGTACACTTAATCGTAAGCGCTCCTGCGTGTGCATGCTGAGCATGCGCACCACGTTGCGTTAAATGTGAAGGTGGGGAGAATAAAAGAATAAGCTTGTTTCTCTTCTTTTTTAGGTCACTTCTGAAGAGGTCTCGGCCCATACTCTATCTAATTCCATTTTAAAGCCCTGCACTGTGGTCAGGTGAACGCGTCTGCTGGGGAGGCAATTACAGATTTTGACCACAGTTTTGGTGAAGAAATGTTTCCTCACATCGAACCTAATTCTATTCTTTTCTAGGTGACATGGATGGCCTCGTAGTTCTCTCGTGGACCTCAGAGGAAGGAGGCCCGGATCCCTGTTCTTCGTATGTCTGAAGACTTCGATCAAGCCTACTGTCATACGTCTCGTACGAATTGAGAAGTTTAGGTGGCGAAGCCGGTCTTCGAAGTGTTGTAAGATACTACTCACTTGTGAGTAGTCGGTAACTTTCGGTGATTAAAAATAGAACAAGACCATCAAGGACCAAGTAATGTATTTGGGAAGAATAAACACTGCCTGCTCNTCAAGGCATGAAGAGATCCTTTCCGCCGGGGGAGGAGTGTTGTAAGATACTACTCACTTGTGAGTAGTCGGTAACTTTCGGTGATTAAAAATAGAACAAGACCATCAAGGACCAAGTAATGTATTTGGGAAGAATAAACACTGCCTGCTCTACCCATTATTCTATGTGTCGCGTTGAGTTGCGTTGGCATGTTTCTGATAAGGTTTTCGTGTTATACATGCAGAATAAGTGACGTTCAATCTGTATTCTGCAATAAAGTATTTTTCTCGATCAGCACCGTCTTTTGGGAATATAACAATTGGCGCCGTCGCCAGGATCAGGAAGACGGTTTCATGGTCAGCGGCCTTCGAGCACCGGGATGTGAGCATGTTCCTGGAGGTGTTCGAGGATGTGGCGAAGCTGGCCGGAATACGGACGGATCGCGGCAAGTTGACGGCCCTCCGAGTGCTCCTCAAGGGCCGTGCGAGGGCAGTGTTGGACGCGGCACGAAGGAACCCGGAGAAAATGGAGTGGGCCGCCGCAAATGACGCCTTGATCGCGGGCTTTGACACCCCGGCCGACCGCCAGGAGGCACTCCATCACTTCATGACGGTGCAGCTCGAAGTCGGTGTGGACCCACTTTCGCATGCCGTGGCCCTGCGTTGGCTATTGGATCACGCACTACCGACATTGGATGAGAATGCTCGCTCGGAACTACTCCTCGACCATTTCACAGAGAGCCTCCCGGAAGACATACGCGAGAAAGCGAAACTCATTAATGTGGCACGTACCATGGACGTAGTAACGCTAGCTGAAGTTGTGAGACAGTTCACCGGTCAGGAAATTGCGGCAGTGCAAATGCAGGAATTCCATAAGGATGAGCCACCGGAAGACGTGAAGGCCACAGTTGACAGACTGACGGATGAAGTAGCGGCACTCAAATCAAATTTCGGACGGAAGAAAAACACAAATGCATGTTTTCATTGTGGCAGGCGAGGTCACTGGCGGCGGAATTGCCCTGAGAGATATAATAAATTCTCTTCAAATACACGATTGATTCCGTACACGCGTTTTCTCTCGAACAAAGCAATCACTGGAGCAGTAGATCGCGGGGCAGTACGGGCCAGTTTAGAGATCGACCAGATCGGCTAGACCCCAACCAAACGAGCCCCTGAAAACGTGGAATACAGCTGTGAAAACAGTCGGAGATTACCAGTTGAAGGTAGACGGAGTAGCCAAATGGACGGTTCACGTTGGAAATAGTAAAATTAAGCACCCATTTGTCCCAACAAAAGACGCGAACTAGACTATAGTGGGGGCAGACATCATACGCAGCTTAAGGGCCGTGGTTGATTTGAACAACAAACAGTTTGTTACTAAATTCGGCACGATCCCGCTGTTACGCTCCAAAGGGAAGAGGTTGGCAACCGTCAGAACAAAAACAACCCACACTAATTTATCTTATTCATTTCGGCCAGTGGTGCAACAATACTCCCACCTGTTCAAAGGCGATGATAACCCCTATGGGTTCTGTAACTGGGTCCAACACGAAATTCCAATAAAGGCAGGAAAATTTGGAGCCCATGTTTTACGTGGAATTCCACTAAACCTGATGGATGAAGTGAAGCAACAGGTTGAACAAATGTTAAAGGAAGGAATCATCGAAGACACTCGAAGTCCGTATAACTCCCCGTGCTGCTGGTGAAAACGCCCAATAGCAAATTTCGGTTCTGTGTGGATCTCCGCCAAGTAAACATTGTGACTATAAACAAGCCAGCCCCAGTCCCGACTGCGTCAGAGTGTTGAATTTGTTTGTGGTTGTTGATCGAGTTGTAA